TCCCCTGTGTCCAGGCAGGGCTTTAAACTCAGGGAGACGCGGAAGAATCTGCCTGGGGCCTCCTGCCAGGAGGGCCCGCCGTGTGTAACGCGGGGAGCTGGCGCTTTGGAGTCGCCCCGGCCCACACCACCAAGGTCTCCACACCACCAGGACTCCCCCGAGGGGCGCGCTCGCCCGCCGCGCCGTGTGCGGCTCTGGAGGCGCAGTCTCAGATCAATCTGGTCCCCAGGGTGGCTGCGGGCCCCGCCTCGCTGTGCCCAGGCCCCTAGTTTTGCAGAATGGGGAGTCGGGAGTAGCCCATCCCGGAAAGAGGCACGGAATGCCAGGTACTGTAAACCAGCGCTATCCAGTTAGAAATATGTTAACATCTGGGCTGGGGATTTAGCTCAGTAGTTCCGGCACCTGCGTCGCGAGTGTAAGGACCTGAGTTCGATCCCCGGTACCCCCCCAAAAAAAGAGCTTCATGCAAGCCACGTATATACGTAATTATAAATATTGAAGTACCCACCTTTAAAAAGTACAAAGAAATAGGTGAAGTAACCTTTTATAAGGTAGCTTTTTTTAAGCCTGCTATGTTGAGAATATTAGTATTTCAACAGTACACATTGTAAAAATTTACTGAGATATTTTACTTTTTCCCCCCATACTGTCTTAGAAATCGGGTATTTTACGCTTAAGAGCACATCTTATTCCATGCTAGCATCATTTCTGGTGCCAGTAGTACATGTGGCCAAGGGCAACTTCACTTGAACCAGGACATAGGTAAACCTGGCTGATCCTGGGCTTCATTCCCACCCTTCCCTTTTCCTTCCATATTTCTTATTTATTAAATATATTTTGTGTGTTGATGGAGATAGTAAAAATGCTTGGTCCCCCTCCTCCTTGGAGCCCCCAACCCAAAGAAGTTACAAATTGTCCCTAAGTGTCAGAACTTGAATTTGCACCTATAGCCTAGGCTGTCTTAGGGGATTTAGGTGCTTAGTTCTGAGAGTTCCCTTGAAGCCAAACATTGCTGGTGCTTTACATGTGGGGAAACTGAGTCTTAGGGAAGTTAGGTAATTTACCCAGAGTTCTCCCTGTTTTTAAACTCTGGCTTTTAAAAAAATTAATTTCATCGGTACATTTTAGGTATGTAATATAGTGACATTCATCATTGGAAATGTATACCTTTACATAATCTATCTTGGTTCTTATTTTTTCCCCATTCTCTTGTCCTCCGTTGAACCCTTCCACCACTCCACCCCTCCCTATTTACAAAGACTTTTGTTTCCATTTGTTTCTTTTCTCATATTAATTCCATCCCCTTCTTTTCTTTCGTCAAATTCTGGCTTCTTTAGAGCTGTTGCTCAGTTGTATTATTGCTTCCAGGATTCTGAGGTGAAAGAAAATAGATGATAGCCTTTGTAACTATCATATTTCTATGTAAATTCTTAGAGTCGTGCTTTGAATACAAGTATAACCATGTATGATCCAACTGAGAAGATACTTGAGATTTTTTTACTGAACCTATTCAATTAAATTACTACCAAACTTTATCTTTCATAGCAAGTACTAGTTACTGGTTTGGAAGGGTCAGAGGGAAATAAAATTTTGTGACCAGTAGTAGGCATCAAATTTTTGACTCTTAGACCAACACAAGAGTAGAGAGGATCACTTATTTGGCTTCTTTCTTCAAACATATCACCAAGAGTTGCACTAATAGTCTCAGACTCATTCTCCAACTACCTAAGTATCTATCAATTGAATAGATGCCCTACTTTTGTGAAGAAAAAAAAACCAGATGTTTCCAGTCCATCTCGTTCTTCCAGGATATTCTTTGATTCATTTGATAACTGTTTAGTAATCTGCTACTCTGGGTAAAGCCCTGTGCCAGGAACTGGGGCTTCAGTGGTGAATATATGAGGTAATCTGGGCCCTTATGGAGCTTAGAGTAGTGATGGATACTTGGCAAATCAAATGGGGCAGTTGGTTGTGATGTGCTCTGCTCAGGAAGGGGGAGTCTACTTTAGATCAGGTGACAGGGAAGCACATCATAGCCTTAGTCTTCTGGGCTGCTAGTACTTATCTAGATATGATGTTTTCTAATGATTTGGGCTCCCCTATACTTCTGTGCTGTCAAGAAAAAAAAAATCAATTAATAGATTTTTTTTTTTTTTTTTTTAGTGTAAAGCTGACCATTTTGGCCTGGAAGTCATGAAATGTGTGATCATGTACTTTCCCTTGGTAATAATATGCCAGTGTGAATCAGGTTATAGCATACATTTCTAATTCATGTTATATCTTTGTGTTTGTTAATGTATGTTTCTGCTAATCATGCAATTATAATAGCCTTTTTTCCCCTGTGATACTAGAGAGTGACCCCCGGACCATCTTACTGAGCTATGTCCCCCAGTCCTTGTTAATTTTGAAATAGGGGCCAGGGATTTGGCTCAGTGGTTCCGCCACCTGCCTTGCAAGCATAAGAACCCAAGTTTGATCCCCTGTACAAAAAAAAGAACAAAAAACTGATGCTACTTTTGAGACAGGGTCTTGCTAAGTCACTGCATTACTCAGGCTGAGCTCCAACTTGTGATCCTCCTGCCTCAGCCTTCCAGAGTGCTGGGATCACAGGTGTGTGCCACCATACCAGGCTTGTGTGTTAAAAGCACTTTTTGTGAAGCTTTTCAGATGATAATAATTTTGTTTTCTTGGTCAGACTTTTACTTATTCTTGCAGATGTCACAGTGATAAGTCCTATATCAAGACTTTGTTTTTGTTTTTATTTGTTTGTTTGTTTGTTTGTTTTGGTGTCAGGGATCAAACTTGGGACCTTGTGCTTGCTAGGCAGGTGGCAGAACCACTGAGCTAAATCTGGCCCAAGACTTTTTTTTTAGTGGTACAGGGAATCAAATCCAAGGGAGCACCTCTACTGAGCTTCATCTTCCTTCTGTTTTTTAGTTTGAGACTAGGCCTTGCCAATGAGTTGCAGGCTGGCCTCAAACTTGTAATCCTGCTTCAGCCTCCCAAGTACCTTTGATTACACCACGTACTTGGCCTATGTTAAGATCTTAAATGTACTGTACTGTACTGTATCTATGTAACTTAGGAGAAATTAAACAGAATAGATTAGGTTTTAAATGCAAGTTAATGTTTTTTAAATTTGCATGAGATAGAGTCTCACTATTTTGCCCAGGCTGGCAGTGAATTTAGCTCAGGGAGTCCTTCTACCTCAACATCTTCTTGAATAGCTGGAACTATAGATATGAGCTATCGTGCCCAGCTAAGACAGTTTAACAATGATGAGTATTTCCAGAAACTTTCTGTCCTGTAAGTTACCTGGTTTGAAGAAAGTAAAGGACATGGAGCTAGATGACCAAGTTCTGATTCTGATTTGATGCTCTTTCACCTATCATGCAAAGTGTAGTCAGTCTGAGCTTCAGTATCTCTGCCATGTAGTCTCCACAGTACCTTTATTGTATGTAAGAATACTTTATAAAGATCAAAGATCACCATTTAAATAGGAAAATTACTGTATATTATGGTGAAAATTT